TTTAGTGAACCATAACTGTGTTTGTTCTTCAGGAACACACATGCGTTGAGGCACATACTTTTCAAACAATCTATGTACAGTACAATTAAAATGTGCAACGCTTTGCTCAACTTTTTCTTTGTATATAGGCCACGACAAATAAATCCCAATCTTCTATCTTTGCACTCATTCCACATATATTGATAGAAGTACGGAAAGCGGAAAATACTATCGGTTCTTCTACCTAAGCCTTTAGTTTAGTCAAAAACGATTAAGTTAGAATCAATCTAGTATTTTATGCATTGAATAAGTTATTTGAATTCTTTTTATTACTCAGTAAAAAAAATAAATAATTTGCATCAACGACTCAAAAAAAAGAACATCAAAACTCATTTAATGGCGACTTCATTTCGACACTTCCATCTGCCGCATCATCTATCGTCGGTGTGACCAACCTAAGCGGCTGTACATTGCGACCCAAAGCATATGGCGGTCGATCTGCAGTCTTTACATAGAATGTGCCCCGCTTCGGTGTCGAAGGTTCACCACCCATGCGAAACTCTGCACCCGATTCCGAAATTATCCAAACATCCTCCGATTCGCGACGACAAAGTGTGCCCCAAAAACCCAATTTGCTGGTAATCGATTCGGCAAAATAGTGATAGGCACGCCTATGGGAACAGCCATAGATGTAGCATTTCTTCTGATCGCGACCATAATTGGGATAGAAAGTCGCATGACCAACTGGCTCTTCGAAGCCTAAACTACTGCTTGTCTGTATGGATTCAACATACTCAGCATCGGTGGGATCGATGCAATACTCATCGGTTAGATCGCGAAATTTCGGCCCAGCAGGATCGAGCGCATAAATGGTGTTAAAGCGAAATGCTTGCACTTGCTTGCCAGCACTCCCGGCAATTTGCGCGCCCAACGAGTGGCCGATCAAGTAAACATCGTGATAGTGCTCAGGTGCAGGAAGTGCACGAAATCGGCGAGTAGACGACCAAGATCCTCTACCATTTCGACAACACCAAAATAATTGACATTCGACGATATCAAACTCCAATCGCAGACGATGACATTGAAGTCGCTTGGTGTGTTGGTGGAATTGGTGTTGAGGTCACTTGGATAGCTGCTGTCGATAGTGTTTTCAAAGTTATTGCTAACTGGTAGACTGTTGGTGACGATGTCGCTATCTGACGCATCAGTGAAGCGACTATTATCGGCGTCGTTGGCAGCTGAAGACGGCACGCGTTTGACTAGACTGAGATAAGCGTTTTTGACGGCACGATTCAAGGCGCCCTTACTCTGACTCATCCAACCGTGAATGATTATTCTGCAAACAGAGAACGTATATGTATAGAGAAGGACCAAGAACGGATCAGCGTGGAAACTGTCAAATACCAACAAAACTGGCGAAGCGCATTTTAAGAGCGGCCAGCAAGAGACAATCGAATTTTAACAGAGCCCAGCCAGAAGCAAAATAAATTTAACAGAAATTGTCTCATCAAAGCAAATGCATGTTTTTCTTGTTAGACGCGAAATGCTGACGGCTTTTTACGTTTTTAAAAAACTTTTATTGTTCTTTAAATTGGTTAATTATTTAAAATAAATACATGCATAGGTCGGAATATGTAATATGTACATATTGTGTACATGCATATGTATGCGAGATACAATTTTGTGAATCTAAAAAGTGAAAGTTATGCAAATATGTAGTATGCAATTGGCAAATTCGTGGGTGATTTGCCGTCGGCATTTGGGTTGAAAAAATCGACTTTTACTTTTTTACCGATTCATATGGTAGATGCTACGCTATTTTCAATGCAACAAACCGCCTTAGTTTTTCCCCAAATTCACTTTAAAGATGGACACGTTGACCAAAAAACGCAAATGCGCACTGTTTGGTGTCGGCATTAAAAGCGAAGCAAATCGGTTTTTATATATTTAACGATTCTAATGGTAGTTTATAGACACGATATTTTCAATGCAACAAACTGCAGTTTTCTAGCTGCCTTAGTTTTCTCACAAATCCACTTCAAAAAAAACGTACAAATGCATTGATCGCACGCACGTGTTAACTTCAAAGTTGTTTTTGTCTAAAAGTTATTTATATTGAGAAAAACTGTGCATTATCATTTGTTCATGCCATACTCGTATTATATACAAATAATGGGGCATATGCATAGTTAAAATAAAGCCGACACTAAAGTTAGTTACAGCATTTTCACATCACGTTCAGTGGACTAGGCATCTGTGAAAAAAAAGATGCAACTAACTTCTTATTTGGGACTGACAAACTTAAACTTAGAGTAGACTTTATTTCATATACGAATATGCCCCAATAGTTTTGGAGTCAAATGAAAATGCATTTCCCCATGCATATGTATGTACATACATATGTAATCCATTAATTGATAACGTTTTTACATGCATACCTATATATGTATGTACAAATGTGCATATTACTGCCAAAATGCTACGCACATACATACAAATGTACATATGTACAACTCACGGCAGCATACATACATATGCACATAATTACACGCATACTCAAATACAACAATAACTATTTCTTTCATAAACGCATGCGCGCATTTCTCAAGGCCAAGTAAATTCATTCATAAAAATAATCGCAGCACATCTCCCCGCAAATTCATCACCATCAAGCGCAACTTTTTCAATCCGACACAAAAATTCTAAAGTCTTAAAATGAAGAAATCTCGGCCAGCCAAGTGAAAAGTGGCAACTATTTCTCTATATCCAGTAAAATAAGTTATCTCGAATTTTGGAAATTTTTGGTAATTTTTGGCAAAACACTCTATTTCTATGTTCCATATCAATATTTCAATCATTAACTAGTTTTTGAGATGTAATTTTAATAAACATTAAATAAAAGTGTACGTTTTCTGCAGGAAAATACATTGATTTTTTTTAATAAAATCAAAACTTCTAAATTCACAAAAATATGTGGTTTTATCGGAAGTTCACAGATGTAACGTGGCAACTTAGCTCGTTTTCATATTTTTCGGTCCGAAATTGTAAAATTTTTGTCCATGCCGCGCCACAATTTTTGTACAGGTGAGTCAATGTGCCTTGAACAAAATTTATATATACATATACAAAAAAATTATTTTATTTATTTTTTAATATTAAAATTTTCTATACTTCAAAGCGTTTATAAAAATATATTTACATATATGCACGGACGATTTTTAATATTTTTCAACCGTAAGCAAATCTTCAGTACCATAAAAGATTCAAACACATCAAAGTACAAGCAATGCAAAGTCCAAGCTAGTGGTACTCCACTGTACATGTGTATATGAAAGTATGCATGTATGCGTGTAAAAAATGCCAATTCCAGTCAGTGTTTAACCCATTTTAGCGGACATAGTTTTTTTGGTTCCACCTGTTAATAACACACTATTTTACAACGCTTTTTATGTTTAATCTTCATGAAAGTTACATGCATCGTCGGGAACATATTCACATGTTGAATTTTAAATTAATTATTATTATTCTCCATACAAAATGTAAAAGTATTGCTTTATTAAATTCAAAGTTATGCGAAAATCTAAATATTTCGCAAACGTAGGGTTAATGGTTTCGCGCACGTGCCAATCTGGTGGCGATTCGCAGAAATAGAATAATTTGTGTTGATGGAAGCGGCGCGGGGAAGACGAAAGTAGAACAATCGTATATATGTATGTACTTTTGTACATTTATAAATGCATACATACTTACATTTTCATTTTTGTCTTTTTAGATGCATGAAAAATTTGGTATCAGAAATAGGTAATATCAATGAAATGCAGTTTACAAATATGTGCTTTATAAATTTAGGTTTATTAATTAATTAGATATGTAAATGACAATGTGGGGGACAAATATGTATGTACATGAGTAGCGAAGCTGCCACCCATCCAATGGTAACTTCTTGCACTAGAAAAGATTTGAAAACTGCATTATTTCCCTAAATACTGAAAATTTTGAAAAATTTCTTAAATAGTTTCGGCTTAGATTAGCGAGATTTTTACTAATTGCTGGGAAAATCGGACGTTTTCAGATTTTTAGTATTTTTAAAAAAAGTTTCCAAGTCGAAAACAATTAAAAACTGAATTATTTCCATAAATATCGAAAATATGGAAAAAATTCATACAGACTTCCGACTTAGTTTTGCGAGATCTCTACAAAAAAAGGAAAATAATAAAATTGGAAAATGTTATATAATATTTTCGATTTATTTTAACGTTGTGTGTACAAATCACCGAGAAGAAATAATTTTTT